TAACTTTTATGCTCCTGCCCGAGCATCGAAGCAGTTTTGAAATTTGGTAAATGTCGTCTTCAGTGTATGGCGATTGCGCGCTATCGTAGAGATGGACCTCATCGTTACTTTTACAAAACAAATTTGAGGCAACAACCCAATGGTTACCGTGTACCAACAAAATTTGAACATACTTCGATAATGGCGTGTAAACGGGTATTCCACAAAAACTAGTATAAGCCTCTATCGCCTGCAAACCATCAATACTCGGAAATTGAAATTTTAGTATGTTCAATGCATGATCAATTACTTCAGACCCGATTTGTCCCTTCTCAAGAAGAATATCAAATATCGTTTTGGCGGTTTGGAGACGGAACAGAATTTATCGAATCGTGAAACCCATGAGGACTGTTGCGGACCTGGTGTTGAAAATATTAACTGTATATCAGTGGACATGAAACGATCCTTGCGTTAAAGCTGGATTGATGATTTTGCTAATAATTTTGAAGGTTTTTCAATTGGATATTTGAAAAAAGCCGATATACCGATAACGATACTATTCAATTATTACCTCAAGTGCGTAAATTTCGAATATACAATATTTCGAAATACTTATCTGCATGCTAATGCTTCGCATTATTAACTAGAATTTTTCGAATCAACCCGGCACAAAATATCATAAAGGTAACTTCGGTTCGGTTGTAATAGGTTTAAGGGCGCTGTCGAAATTACCAAAGGAGTGGGGGGGGTGTAAATCCGAAGAAATCCAGAATTTCCATGAAACTGTCGCCGCAATCAGGCAGGCCACTTGTGAAAAAAGTCCACTTTTTTGACGGATGATTTTCTGTTATGTTATGTTGTTGGGTAATGATTTTGCGGTTGCGCAAAGTATTCAATTGGCGACTAATCCGAGTCTATTTATAATGTCTTGCTTTATTAATTTAATTGTCTTTTTAATGTAGCCTGTGGTTGTGTCAACAAAATAAAAACATTACTACGCAAATCACGGCAATCCACGGTCATAAAAAGTGTTTCAAACTGCTCGACTATATTTAGTTTTGATTTGTACTTTTTCGATGTTATTAATTATACAAATTTGTTCTTGCAATACCGACTCCGCTTTATTGCACTGATACCACCCAAGATTATTTTCAAGATATCAACGTCAGAAAAATCCTTAGGTCTGCGATTTTAGGGTGAAATATGCGATTTTCGGTAGTCATTTACGGCAAGTTTGAAACATACTTTAACGATTATTTTTCTAGAGCAAGATTTTATCGTTGTATTGCAAAAAATATCAAAATTTAAAAAAATTCCAATATGGGGAATATATAATTATCCCCATTACATGCATATATTAACATTCGTTTCTTTCTGTTTACAGTTATTATGAGCATTGCTGTTTAATAAATTTACAGTAAATGTCCCATGACTATTGATTCTATTTGTGTGTGAGTGATAGTTATCTATGCTCATAATCAAACGATGCCTTCTGTACCATGCCCATGGACCGGTTGTGAATACTCTACACCTGATTGCAGACTACAACGCAGCAGTAGCCTTACTTCAGCTCCACAAGGAAGCCCTACACTCTGCTCCTATCAACCAGACTGTAAGAGTAGAAAAACCAAAACGTCCAACCATCGCACCGAGAGGCACTGCAGAGGAATGGACATATTTCTTACAAAGATGGAAGGAATATAAATGTGCTTCAAGAATAACCGATCCTGATATTACTTATCAACTTTAGACTGCTGTACTGAAGATTTGCGACGAGACCTCACACGAACATACTATGATTTATCGACATCAGATGAAAACACAATCCTAAAAAACATAATGTCTCTAGCGATCAGAAAGGAGAACATCTTGGTAGCTCGACTTCAACTACACAAGCTCCAACAAGACCGAGACGAGCCTATTCGAGCATTCGTGGCACGACTGCGTGGGCAAGCTAGCACTTGCCGCTTTCATGTTAAATGCCAATGTGACCCCCAAACACGTGTAGACTACAGTAACGCCATGATTCGTGACGCACTTGTCTGGGGCCCCTATGATGACGACATCCGTCTTGATCTCCTCTCACAGGCCGACGAGGAAATAACTTTCGCGAAAGAAAGCGGCAAACGCTCAGCACATCGCCTCACCGAACATGACACCTCTGCTGCTATAAACAGTTCTTACCAGCGAAAGCAACGGGATAGGGCTCGTGACAAACGCGAATCCTGCGAATACTGTGGGAAATCTAAGCATGGAAGCAACAAAGATCGTATTAAATCTTGTCCAGCATATGGGCAAACATGCTCAAGATGAGGGATCAAAAATCACTTTGGAAATGTATGCCGCCAACCTGAATGGAAATTGCGGCAACGGGATCGTAAGGTCTTTCCTTCCCCCAAAACGAAAAGCTCACAATGATTCTGGAAACACTGAAGACGCGGCCTCTATCCTTGCAACACTTTGCTCAGTAGATGAGCTCTTCCCAAAGTCCAGAGGCCAGCAGCGTCACACTTGACCATCACATTTATAACGAACTGTGTGATATCTGGGAAAGAAGAGCCTCTGACCCACAGCCAAGTGTTAATGTCTCAATCCTCCATGACCCATCTGATACTCGTCTCATTGGCTCAAGCCCTCACATTTCAAACCCAACACGTTCTGTCACATTCCCTGCCATAGCTGACACTGGCTGCCAGTCATGCCTCGCTGGCATCAATCTACTGGAAAAGCTGGGTCTTGGCCCACAGCATCTGAACCCAGTAAAATTGCAGATGAGTGCAGCTGACTGCCGTCGTATTCAGATCATAGGTGCACTTTCGCTGAGAATATCAGCTCCTTCAAGCGCGTCGATAATTGAAACACGCCAATTGGTATACTTCACTGACTCAACGAATAGGCTCTACCTATCTCAACAGGCTTGTAAAGCACTCTGCCTCATATCTCGATCCTTCCCAACTATTGACGAACATAAAGAGAGCTACAGGTCTAAAACAACTTTGTCTCCCATACACACCGGGTCGGACATGGTCGCTCCTTGCGGATGCCCTATACGAGAACCACCTCCGCCAATCCCAACCTCGGCACCTTTTCCACTCACCCACGAAAACCGAGAAAAGTTGGAAAAATGGATCCTCACTTATTACGCATCAAGCTCATTCAACGTTTGTCAACATCAACCATTGCCAAGGATGAGTGGTCCTCCCTTACGTTTGATGGTGGATCCAGAAGCAAGACCGGTCGCCCACCACACACCAATCCCCATCCCCATACACTGGCAAGATGAGGTAGAGGCAGGCCTGGACCAGGATTGCAGACTTGGTGTCATAGAACCTGTACCAATTGGTGATCCTGTAACATGGTGCCACAGAATGGTCATCTGCGCCAAAAGGTCTGGTAAACCACGCCGCACGGTCGACCTCCAAGCACTGAATAAACACTCTACACGTGAAACACATCATACACAGTCACCATTCCATCAAGCTAGAGCGGTCCCACCAAACACTTTAAAGACAGTTTTCGACGCATGGAATGGATACCATGCAGTGCCCCTACACCCAAGTGACCGTCACTACACCACCTTTATTACCCCCTGGGGCCGATATCGCTATTGCGTAGCACCACAGGGATACGTCGCATCAGGTGATGGGTATAGCCGTCGTTTTGACGAAATAGTGTCTGATATACACAACAAGACTAAATGTGTCGATGACACTCTCATATGGTCCAACGACACGGAAGAAGCATTCTTTCAAACAATTGAATGGCTGGACAAATGTGGTCGAAATGGGATTATTCAAAACCCCACCAAATTCCAATTTGCATCACCAATCGTAGCTTTCGCTGGCTTTGAGATCACGCCAACAGCAGTTCGTCCTTGCTCGAGAACACTGCAGGCGATAGCAGATTTTCCGACCCCGAAAAACATTACAGACATTCGAAGCTGGTTTGGACTTGTCAACCAAGTTGCATACGCTTTTGCGTCCACAAAACACATGCTACCATTCCGATCCCTCCTCAAATCTAAAACATCATTTGTATGGACTAAACAACTTGACGACCTTTTTGAGCAATCGAAGGCTGTCATTGTAGATGAGATCAAGAAGGGAGTCGAGATATTTAACAAGTCAAGACCCACATGCCTTGTAACTGACTGGTGCAAAGACGGTGTTGGTTTCTGGCTAATGCAGAAACATTGCGAATGCACTTCAGCTAAACCTTTCTGTTGTAAAACTGGCTGGAAGATTACACTGGTTGGCAGTCGTTTCACCTCCGGGGCTGAATCTCGCTACTGGCCAATTGAGGGGGAAGCACTAGCCGTCGTGGACGCCCTTGACAAAGCACGACACTTTGTACTAGGCTGTTCAGATCTCATGATTGCTGTTGGTCACAGGCCCTTAGTAAAGGTTTTGGGCGATCGCTGCTTAAACGACATTGCCAATCCTCGCCTTCGCAATCTCAAGGAGAAATGTCTGCGCTACAGATTCAAAGTCGTACATTTGCCTGGCATTCGCGATGTCGCTGCAGACTCATTATCACGCCACCCAGTCAGCGAACCAAACATGTGGGAGCTTCCTGACGACGTTGACTCAGGCGCCATTTTCACCGCCATTCGCACATTCGACCCCGAAACAGCGGAAATCTGCTCTTATTCAACCGATTCCACAAAAGAAATCATCAAGAATGTGACATGGAATGACATGCTTGCCACAGCCAGCGACCCATCAATGCGTTTTCCTATCGACAAAATCCAAGAGGGCTTTCGAGACCGACCAGCAGATATCCACACTGAAATTCGCCCCTTTCATCAATACCGTGACAATCTTTCAGAGTTTGACGGTGTCTGTCTCTACAAGGATCGCGTTATCATTCCACCCTCCTTAAGAGATAGGGTACTCAAAACTTTACACTCTGCACACCAAGGAGTGTAAACAATGTGCTGTCGTGCAGAATCCTCCTTTTTCTGGCCCGGTATGACTAATGCCATCATCAAGCTACGCAACAACTGCTCAGCTTGTATAAGAATGGCCCCCTCACAACCTAGTGCCCCACCAACTCCTCCTCTACAGCCAATGTATCCCTTTGAATGCCTGGCAGTGGCAGCGGATTTTTTTAGCTACAGAGGCAAACACTATTTGGTGGCAGTAGATAGATACAGTAACTGGCCAATTGTTGAACAAGCAAAAGGAGGAGCCGCTGGACTGATCACGACTTTAAGACGAACATTTGTTACTTTTGGGATTAGCGACGAACTCACTTCAGACGGTGGTCCAGAGTTTACTGCGAAGGAGACAACCACTTTCCTCAAGAATTGGGGTGTTAAAAATCGCTTATCGTCAGTGGCGTTCCCCCACAGCAACACACGAGCTGGAATTGCTGTCAAAACTATCAAACGTCTCATTACCAATAACACTGACGAAGAGGGCTCACTCGACACCGATCATTTTCAACGAGCGATACTTCAGTACCGCAATACTCCCGACAGGGATACCCGCTTATCTCCTGCTATGTGCATTTTTGGCCGTGCCATACGTGATTTCATCCCCATCCATCCTGGCAAATACAAACCACTTAATACATGGCGCGAGAAACTGATTGCCAGGGAAGATGCCTTACTACTTACTGAATACAGCGCAAAACACCGCAAAGAGCGCAAAACAGCGCAAAACAGAGGGAAACAGCGCAAAACAGTGTGGAAACAGCGCGAAAGAGCGCAAAACAGTGTGAAGCAGAAAAAAATTTTGCAATGAGTTCGGGGCACCTTGTTTTGAGTTGGAGTACCACGGCAGCAAATTAAAAACACAAACCAACGTATGTAGCCAGTAATGCTGTAATGGCAGGTCTGCCCCTGCTGGTGACACATTTTGGGTACCATAATTTAGAACATTTTCCATATGGATATGGTTGGCTTTAGGGTTAGGTAAAAAGGGACCTCCAGAAGTATGTGCACCAAGATGGCGCACAACCTGAAAATAGTATGTGTGTGTGTGTGTGTAGCGGATTCAGGCTGTGCGACATATTGCTGCACATACTTCTGGAGCACCAAAAAGGTAGATAAAATTTCGCATGATGACCTATAATCCGGTACATAACCTTGTAAATATGCCAGAAATAGCGCCATAAAACCATGGCGAGAGGCGCCGTGGTTCTTTCGTGGCAGGAGGTGATAATGACTGCGTCTCCTGTTTTGCGCTGTTTCCCTCTGTTTTGCGCTGGTTCCCTTCTGTTTCGCGCTGTTTTCCTCTCTTTTGCGCTGTTTTCCTCTCTTTTGCGCTATTTTGCGCTGTTTTGCGCTCTTTGCGGTGTTTCGCGCTGTATTCAGTAAGTAGTAAGACCCGCATATGAGAGCTGGAGAGCGCCTAACCGAACACACCCGATCTCTGCCACCATTATCTATTGGCAACCATGTTCGCATCCAAAATCAGACTGGCCCACACCCTCTAAAATGGGACAAAACTGGAGTTGTCATTGAGGTGCGACAATTCGATCAATATGTGGTTCGAGTAGATGGTTCCGGTCGTGTCTCTCTCAGAAATCGTAAATTCTTGCGTAAATACCAACCAGTCATCGACCGTGAACCACTCACAAAGTCAACACACAACAATACGTACAATCAGGCACAATTCGTGCCCCAGCTACCTGTGACTCCGACTCCTCAGACTGAGATTAAAGTCACCAAACTCACACAACCAGTCATGAACCAGCAAGATATTGCAGAGCCACGACCTCCACCTCCCACAGGACACAAAGACGTTGCTCCAGCTACACAAAAATTGCCTCGTGCACTACGGGCTCTTATGCCCCATAATTCGCCTGGACTCGGAGAATCCACTGATGCTCTACCAAGAACACGAAGTCAGTCAACGCAGTAATGGCTTGAACATTCAAAGACTACTCAGTCTTGTGATTCATTCTTCTCAAAGACTTGGGGGGGGGGGGGGCATATATAATTATCCCCATTACATGCATATATTAACATTCGTTTCTTTCTGTTTACAGTTATTATGAGCATTGCTGTTTAATAAATGTACAGTAAATGTCCCATGACTATTGATTCTATTTGTGTGTGAGTGATAGTTATCTAGGGAACATATAATAGATAAACGAAATCAAAGTTGGACTGAAATCCGGCAAACAATACCGTTGAATGCATAGTGTTTTTGTTTTCCGAAGTAAGATTCTGAAATAAAAAAAATTGGGACTCGTGGGAACATATAAAAAAATAAATTCCGATCAGGTACATTAGTTTGTATAATAAATAAACCAAAATTCCATCTCGATGATCTCATGACATCCGCTCTTCATATGACATCGTGTTACATTAGTGACAGAATTAGGTTTACGATTTATCTTCTTGCAGAATTGGATGCTGGGAATTGGCGGCCAGGGTAACCCAGGTCTGGAGGCGGTATTGGATACAAATAAATGCAATGTGGCCGCCAATAGCAAAAAGGTTGTGCACCCCTGGTTGGAATAGATAGGACTTATTCCGAAAGTTTCTAAATACGGAAATTGGGCCACATTTATTACCTCTTTGATAGCCTATACATACCTCAGACGTTATTACTTATCGATCTTAAGATCGGCAAGTATATTGATAGGTATTTGTCTGTCTGTGTGTGTGTCTGTTAGATGCACGCGATATCTCACGAAAGCGAGATTGAATCTGCTCCAGATTTTGCATGTGCATTCATCTTATCTCGGACCAGAAGCCTATTGATTTTGGGCGAATTATGTCGTATAATTAGCGAGTTATCAATCAATTATTGATATAGTGATCTAGATTTTTGTAAAGCGAGAGAATTTTGAAACCCGCCGAGTGTGTGTGTGCGATGCGCAGTGCGCAAGTTACAAGAGCGGATGAATCGAAACTGCAGTTTCTGTTTTGGGGGATCCCCTAACTATCGATCGATAAGTCTTCGGTTTCCAACCGATATTCTCGTTTATTTATTGGTTTATGTTCGGGTCTTGACGTTCCGGGATCCCTGGTCCAATAATATCTTGTCTTATATCGAATTGCCAGTTCTTCGGATCACGGACATTTCCAGCATGCCATTACGGTATTATATTTCATATAAACAGTGATCGAAATGCCATAATGCAGGGGTGGACACATTTTGTCGCTCGCGGGCGAAACTTTAGGGGGTTGCGAGTCTGGGCGGTCGCACATATTTTTAAAAGTTAAAAACGGAACAGCGCGCGAAGAATGTGACAATTCGTGGACTCAACTCAGTCGTCTTAATAAAAGAAAAAAGTTACAAATGACATATAGTGTAACGTTTGTTGTTGTATCACGCTTGATAGCTTTTCGACATCGGCGTCACACTGAATGAACCCTGGATTGCAACATTTTTCTTTGTGGTAATCACTAACCCAAGTTCTCAGCTTGCTTTTTGCAATCTACATTTTCGAAAATAATTGAAGCGTCGCGGGCGGGATCCTGCTTGCTTTTGGAGTTTTTACGCCAGATTGACTTACTTTTTTTTTTTGTCACACGTGATCATTGCGTGACGGTTTGTGAAATTGTCGCCAACCTTGCTTTTAATTGTATGTTGCGTGTATTGTATCGGCGTCACTGCGCAAATAGTCTATCTTGCGCCTCACTAGTTTTATTGAATGCATTACGTAAAGCAGAAGCTGGCATGTCTTGTTTAAAATGTCAGTAAAGGACTTCAATCCGTGACAAAGAATAAGGGAACAATTATGACGACATGTCGTTCAAGATTGAAAAGATCGAATCCGTCAAATTAATTTCCTGGAGAGGTATTTATTTCAACAAGGAGGCGCAAAATAACATGTTCTCGTATTTAACAAGCCCGAGCCTAATTATAATTTTTGAATTAGAAAATAAATAATTTTACCTCCATTGATTGGAATATCTAGCGTCATTAAAACGAATGGTGATGCCCCCTAAATGTTCGCTATGGCTTTATACATACATCATGTCTCGGAATACTGGGATCGACAACTAGTTAGTCAACAATGTTGGCAGCGTGTAAAACATTCAAAAAAGTGGCAAGACTTTTCAAGTGAATATTATCTAGTAAATTACAGCTCGTGCAGACTTTTTGTTTATATTTGCGGCTAGGATAAGCGCTGCTCCATGTGGTACTTGGTATTGCCGCCCCGGAGGTATTCACACTGTGCACTTGGAATTACGTTTCTGATATATTTAACCCTGTGAACTATATTAATTATAGAATCAGATTACATTTTGGGCCAGATATTTATATCCACCAACGCCGATTTTATGTTTTTAAGTGAGTTTAAATTACTTTATTTAATTAATTTAAAAATTCCTCATATATATATATCGCCCTCATCTATAGTACAACCTGCAACGTTTCCCATCTCCCAAATAGCGATATGTCAGTCATTATCATGTTCTATTTACGCATGTAAAAAACGCTTATCTTTTATTTCAAGCCTATCAAGGTGAAGACATACCAGTTCGGTCCCATGCGTCGTGTATCAGAAGAGTAAATTAATGATTTACTTGATCACAGGCTTGAAGTTGTTTTACCACGTCTGTCAGTGCCTTTTGGTTTCTCTTGAGCACTTGCCCGATAGATCGTTGCTAAAAGCTGGATGTTTAAAAGTGTTCTAGGAAAATTTGCCGTAGGAAATTTCGTCACGTAGTGAAAATCGCCGTATGAAAAATCGCCTTATTTGTAAAATATGCGTCATTTGAAAGCAACCCTATAACTTGTTTTAATCACAAATACTTGTTTTACAGCAAAAATGCTCTTGCGATTTTCCCTATGCGGCGAAATTTCCTGTGGCGAGAATTCCTACGGCGAATTTCTGGACACGGTTTAAAATATATAAAACAAACAAAGTTTTTACCGAATCGCCCATCAGGTATTTAATTAATTTCAAACTGTTTATATGATTTTTCCTCAATCATTGATTATCGAACCTAGGATGTTTACTCGCTATCACATGACGGTGTAGATTCGAGATAAAGAAGTGACGCGAAGATCAGGCATATTTAACTGTCGTCTATCCCTTATAAACGTTTATGAAGGCTCAGATGATATTTAAACAGAAAAAAAATGAGCGTTAATAAAGATGTAGAATGATGTTTTACTACAGCGCTGTGATCTTTATTCATATCGTATAGATTAAATCAGAATGGTGAATTACAACGCAACGTATGCATGCACAGGCAAACTTTAGCCTTTGACTCACTCACTGCCTTATATTTTTACTTCTTCTCTGTCTTATAATTCTGATAACATAAATATATTAAAACATTTTACTTCTTCTCTGTCTTATAATTCTGATAACATAAATATATTAAAACATATTATAGTACAAAGTAAAATGGAGATGGACATGAATTCAGATACTATGCCGACAATGACACATTATTTTAACACCAAGCTTCCGGTTGCAGTTGCCTTTGAGGGATGGATTATTAATAACAGTGGAAGTAAGCAAATAGTTTCAAGTTTTCATCGATAAACTGAAATATGCATTGTATATTGGAAGAATGTAAAATTATATGTATTTTGTTTATTTGAATTGAAGTTCGAGTAAACAGTAAACACGTTGAATTTTGCTAAAAAATCTTATCTTGTTTATGTTGCATTCCAGAATTTGAATCCAATATCCATTGGAAGTTTATTATATTAAATGTTCATTTTTGTTTATGATAGCGTTGGCTGGGTCTTGTATTGGAGTAGCCGGACTTGCAATTTTCTTTGAGATATTCAAGACACTGAGAAATGTATTTCAGAAGAATTACTTGAGACGAAGCCCTTATATATACCAGGTACGTTGATAATTTTACAAAGGATTTTACAACAGAATGTGAATTATAGCCCAAAGTATTAATATAAATACTTATAGCACCCAATATGCTTGTTGAAAAAGAATATGAGCGACTCTAAAATAGCTATATGATTGTTGAGTATATATTTGTTAAGTAAGTACAGCCAACGAATATTCAAAGTTGAATTATTAATTTGCGTAAAATAAAAATACGTGATTTGTATGGTGTAGGGCAGGCTATCGCGCTGTCCAGTTAAAACCAGTTTTAAGCAATTATGATGGTTAATTTGAAATTGGCCAACTAATTTTTTTGAATTGTCATCATCGCGGATGACAAAAATAAATTCGATCCATAAGCCGACAGCTCCAGTTAAATTTCGGACTCGATTTTCACTTAAAACGTCAACTATTTCAAAAAATAGTTTGTCGGTACAGTTGCAATCCTGCGCCTTTTCCGGTTCTTTGCGGCGTTGTAGGCAGTTGGTAACAGTGTTGCCATATTGTCTTTTTTAACGTCAAATTTCACAATTTTGGCTTTTTTGAAACACGTTTGACGTCAGAAGTTCCGTTTGACTTTTTCTATGTCCACTATAATGTCTATTATTAAAATCATATAAAACACAATATTTAGTGTGTAATATTTAGTAGTGTAATACCCTATTGGTTAGCTTAGCTGCTTAGCATTTAGAATTTCCCGGGCATCGATTTCCTTGTTTATTACATTAACCACAGCCAATCAGAAATAAGTCTACCATGACGTAGCAATTGCAGTTTTGGCAGCCGCTCAGACATGTGTTCAAGCAGGCCTCGTTTTCATAGTTTTGTGTGTTATTTGTCAGTTTTTAGTTCTGTTTCCAAAAAATAGTTGTATGACTTAATTGTCATTATGTCTTCCAAGGAGCTTTGGTTAGTTTGCAGTCATCAAAATTTAGTCTCGCGAACGATGTGATTAACTAGGCTAAAATAAGCTATCAGTAGACTATTTGTAAGTGGCACATGGTTGGATAATTTTAGTGAAAATGATGGTTTCAAACATGTAAACCAGTTTATATTCACCATCCCTTCAAAACAATTCTCAATATAGCATAATTTTTTTTTCAACAGGGACTCAGGGAGTATAGGGAGAATTCTCTGAGGTATTTATATCACAAGTTTAAGTACAAACATGTACCGTACGTTTACCACATACATTAAAGCGGTACAATGTATTGTATATATTGAATTGTAAAATATTGCTGTTCGCTTAATATTTCTTTTTTTGGTTTTTTGATGTTTTTAAACTTTTTTATATAGATGTCAGCTCGACTGTATTGTGTCGGATATACATTCTAGTTCTGCGATTTAATAACCCTTCTTACTTTTAAATCCTTTATCGCGCTGAATTGGGAATCGCCATGATAGCAACCGAAACTACAACGTTCAATGAGAGGAGACATTTGGTGTTGCTCTCAAAATCAACTGATGGCTCTAAATCAGCATATTGCAAACTGTGCAAATCCACTATTGCGCTAAGGGTTTCAAATTTGACAAATCATGGGCCTTGTGTACTGTAAAATTGTTGGCCTTTCTGACTTTTTTGTCACTGGGATCTGGCAACGCTGGTTGGGGAGTGTAGATTATTTGGAAAAGCGTGGGGTACGTTATTTAAGCATGGTTAACTGAATATTCAGTTAACCATGATTTAAGCGTTGGCGTGTACGGGGGAATGTCGAAAGGACATATGAAAAAGTTCTGAGTGTTCCGGGATCTGAGAGAGTGCGTCAATGCCTTTTGTCGTGAGGATGAATGTTTGGAGCTTTTTCGATTTTTTTTTCTCGGCATTCTGCATGTAGCATTCAATATTTACCAAATTATTCCAATTACGAAATATTGAATATTATGAAACGTCTTATTTGTGGTATGTTTTTTACATCAATAATATACTTTTATGAATAGACCACACGAGTCTCGAATACATTCCAAGCATATTTTGTTAATTCCTATCAAATCTGAAATTTTAATACATGTTTTAGTGAAGAAATAATCTTGGAAGGAACCAATGCATAAAGACATAACCAAATTCTTCCTTCTAAAAGAAAGATATACATGTGCATTTTTTACGCAATATAGCAATTTTGAAAATTCAAGGATAATAATCCTCTCAAAACGCTGGAGTTTAAGTCATTCGTATTTCAAACTGGATTGAAATGCAGATAAGAGTGCAAATTTATCACCTAGTAAAATTTGAATGCGCTCTGATTTTGTATTCATTTGTGTACATTCAATGCCAATCTTCGATTTATCGGTTAAACTGAGTTAAATTTCATTAGTACGGTAGATCATGAAGGAGGGCCACGCAAATCTTAAGCTTAAATCCTTGGTTTGTCATGACAACCTAATATACTTTAAAGCCATAAGCAGAAAGCATCTGAAAGCGCTGTCATAGATAAGTAGAAATACCTCGCCTGTGAAAATATGAGCTTTCAATGAAATGTACTAGAACAGGTCCACTAAACGTTTATGTAAATCTGCAATGAACTATAATCATTCTTGCATAATTAGTAGGCTAGATCAGGGGTGTGCAACCTTTTTTACAGGGGGGTCTAGTACAATTAGCTGGGTGAAGCCGCGGGCCGCATCTAGAAACTCCACCCACGAAAGACCCTGGACACGAAAAATCTAAATTACGACGCCGCCTCCTCCCACTCTCCGCGGTCTTCGTTAGCCTAGTAGGTCAACGCCAAAAATAAACAAATATACCGTCCGTAGTTTTTATTCGATATTTCTCTGTTCTTTCTACTTTCCATGTGTCCTTTTTCTATTTATTATGCAGTAATTTTATTCATACATATTCTTGTTACGAGTTTTACCAATTGTTATGATTTATACAAATATTACGGCCGACTTTTGTGGGGGCATTTACAGATAAAATGTGTCCCCTACTTACGGAATTTTCTACCTACGAAGGGGCTTCCGAAACGAATTAATTCCATAGGTAGATTTTCTACTGTAGTTGCAAAAATTGTTTCTTTTTGTCATTGATCTAACGGCATTGTTAGGGGTCCTTGCAGAAATGTTGAATTTAAACGCCTAAATTTCTGAAGAAAACAGAAATTCAAATTTATTGTCTCATCGATTTTCAATGAATTCAGGGAGAAACACGTATTTATACCATTGTGTTTTTTTGCAACAGAATTTTGACAGCTAGTTTTGCTGATGACAGTGGCACTCAGGTACTGGTATAGGCTTTGCGACGCAAAAAGATTGGAATTGCTCGCACGTACCAGATTAACTAAACTAAAAACTCGTTTTGCGGGCACACTATTCAAAATTGGCACCTCACCGCGGGCCGCACAATTTGTCTTTGCGGGCCGCGGTTTGCACACCCCCGGGCTAGATAATAGAAAAGTCCTTTAATATACAATTGTTTCAAAGAACCTTCGTCGAACCTCTATGTCAGCTCCACCGAAACCCCAGGGGTTTGATCGAACCCAGGTTAAGAACCACTACTTTGAAAGATCGTTTCTTATAAACTTCTGATTCGGCCAACTAACCTATCTGATATATGTGCAATATATTTAATATCATTGATGTTAAGGAGATAATATTTTAAAATAGCATGATCAACCAAAGTGGTTGACTGCTTAGCCGGGACCGCGATCAGCGAAGACACCGAGCCATAACGTAGTGTTATTAGCAAAAAAGGTGGCAATAACTAATTATTTATTCTCTATCGCAGCCCAATCCAGCATCGAACAAGGAAATATCCTCAACCAACGGGAACTTTGAATCGCAATATTCCCATTTTTGGGGAATGCATTTTCTACATAGTATCATTTATATTATTCAAGTACGATTTTTTATTCATCTCTATTCATATTTTTATCACCTATATCTTAGTCTATATACATCAGTTCTAAAATTCCTTACTCGTTCCAAAATGCCTAAAGTTTGAAAAAAGCATCCCTTAAAAAGTATAGTCCTAATTTATATGTGGTATATTCAAAAAAAAACGCCGTAATGTAACGCTGATGAAAAATAAACCCAATCGTAATATCACGTAACATGGCTATATATGCTTTTTCTATAGATTTTTGTTGGATACTTACTAATGTTGGTTGTTATGGTATTCAATGTCTGGTTAACAGTATCAGTAATTATCGGACTCACACTTGGATATTTCTTGACGTTCTTCATCGCTCTAATGCCCAAAATCAAAGCTCTTCAGACCTACGACAATGCTGCTAGGGTAGGAAAATTCAATTATTTAGAATTCGTTTTTAATAAATGTCATTTTGCATGCGACCACTAGCCGAACAAGCAAATAGAAAACAAGGCTCTATTCAGAAGAGGTGGCGCTAAACGATGAAATAACCTCTAAACCCCCGCCTTTCTAGCTGATTCTAAACTGCGAGAATAGTTTCTATACCATATATATGGGCTTATTGACACCTAAATAAAATAATAATAATAAAAATTGTGAATTGACTTTTATGTTGATGAATTTTATGTATAAATCTCACTGTGTTGTCTAACTAAACAAACCCATGTTTTCCATTTTGTCGATAACAGCCGATAAGCAAGAACAATGTTGATCTTGCTACAATGTCCACAGTCGTCAAAAACAAGTCAGCAGAAGACTCACCGCCAAAGGTCGATGGAGATATTGCCGGGTGTTCATTCTAAAATTTAATTGGCGCTTAGTGGATTATGTTTTGAACTGTAATTTCTAATTCCTATTTTATTGTGTATTATAGTTTTTTTTTTACTTCTTTTTGAAAATTCCCCACGCGATTAATAATTGGTTCCGTGTAACGGTGGGTTTGAATCGTTTGAATCAAATGTTTTTCGTCGTTTTGCGCTCATTCTGCAATTTTTCATACAATTCTATACAATCTTAACCTGCATTTTCTGCGTTCTATTTTGTCGTTGATCTAATGAAAATCTTCCGCGTTCTTTTGCAAAATTGGGTTAGTTTGTGTATCAGTAGCTTTCACTATCCTTATATGGGATATATCTACGACTACATATTTGTAAACAACAGGTTGGCCGCACAGTTACTTCTAATGCGGATTTTTCGTCATCATCATAAAGTCGCTTTTCTCTTTGAATACTGGACCAATTGCTTCGAAATTTTCAATGAGTAAAGATTATATTTTCTCGCTAGGAGGCTATTACTTTTATTTATCGTTTTTTTGTGTGCTATGACGCCATCAAAATTGCCACTATGTGGCGCAACGTGTCAATATATTTGAGCATAGCTCTCTTGTTTTTAATCAATTTGTGAATGACATAGTAGTCAGGTGAGGGTTTGGAATAATATATGCACAATTTGTCATGCTACACCCGCAGGAAGTACTTGTGGTACTAAACTATACTAGACCCCAAAATACTGTGCGAGCCTGTCAATCGACGCATGTGATTAGGTCACGTCGGAAGATTTTCCCCATTCGCATCCATATATACTAACACTTTCAACTGAACAAAACAATATTAAATTAATTGATTAAGAACCAAAAAGGAACAGAATAAGATACCCATTATACGGCTAGCTAGGACACAACAATTTCAATCTGCTTTCCAATTTTTACAACAATATCTTAGGATTTTAGTGGTCAAATTTGTGTCAAGGAGAAATGTTAAAAAGGGCTTTGATGTCAGGGATTTTTGAATACAGTGAATCCCTGCTATAAATCCTTGAATTTTCAGATATTGCGCATCTACGAAATGATTTTTTCAGAGATTTTTCACATGTAGGCTTTGTTGTGCAACACGGATTGCGTCGCATTCAGATAATTGTGATGTAACATATGACCTTTATTGTCAGCATTTTGGAATCGGAGTTCTCCCTAAAAGCAGGCACTTGCGTATTCAGGCACTTTTTTAGGCACCCTTTCATGCACTTTGATTTTTTTACCGTAGTTCATCGGGATTTCAGTTTTATTAGATCTTGAATAAATTTGGGCATTTCTATGGCAACATTGGGCATGTTTTTCTTTCTGAATGAAATTTGTTACACAAGACAGTTTGACATTTTTTATAACACAAGAAGCAATATTATTTGAAAATCTACGATCAATCACAACCTGTTAGATTTCTTTGGAATTGAAATATTAATGGTAAAATATAGCAACACTGTGCATAACATCAAAAAAGTCGTGCTCTCGAAGTATGTGCACCAACATAGTGCACAACCTGAATCCTAACCTGGTACACATACTATGTTCAGGTTGTGCGCCATCTTGGTGCACATACTTCGGGAGCTTCAAAAATTCAAGCACTTGTGAAATTTCAGGCACTGGCAATTTTCGCATTTTTAATAGTACAAAGATGAATACTATTTGACAATCACTCGTCACTTACGTTCACTCGTCTTACCCTTTGGATTTATTTGAAATATAAATGGTAAAATATGGCATCAATGAGCACAAATTCAAAAAATCAGGCACTCGTGTAATTTCTGGCACTTTGTAAAATCCTACCCTATCTGTCTATTAAAAGAGCTATACAATTCAGCAATATACAATGCAAGCAATGCAGTCAATTATTTCGCGTACTGAATTTTAGTGAAGGGAAGATATTACTTGTAATGTATATCTAGAGACATATTTTCTTAATATTGCCATACACTGCATAAACTGATAACGGCAAGACGCTGTAGTTCGCCTTGAAATAGTCGTCTTATCGGCTTTCTTCTCCCTTGGGGGTGAATATAAAAATCCTACACTCCACATTCCTGAAATCAGGCACTAGGCCGACAATGCTTCAGTAAAACTTCAGATATCTGAACAAATCGAATTAAATCAGCTTCATTATGTTTCGCCAGGACTGCCGCGATAGTTTTGTTTCATAGATATCTCAAACTCGTTCACAATCCGTCCACCGCTTGCTTCACGTCTTGTGATGAAACCATTCCAAAATAAAATTTTAATAGAGAACAATTTCAAAAAAAAAACTATCAAATTTAAGCAATATTGCAATGTTCTGATATTTATTGCACGTTATCAAAACCAGTGACATTCTTTCCTGATCGTTTCGATGCACTCCTTCCCTTGCTTATCCTAAAACTCATTCAGCCAAAACTATTCAACAAAACTTTTAGCTTTTATTTGTAGCCCAATCTTTAACTTGCCATTACCCGCAAGAAATTATATGCACTCTGACTTTATAGTTGGAATAGTTCATAATGTGAGCACACACACATAGATAATCTGTATTACAATAATAATAACTAAATAAGTAAAATAGTTGTCTCAAACCAAATCCGATCGATTTTCTTGAAAATTACTTCTTATCTGTCCGCCGTTAGAACTTAACACGAAATTGGTAAAAGTACGACCGGTCTTATTCATCTGTGTGCACAAAATGCAAGCTCATGTAATGCATTTTATTTAATACATCGTAGTATTGCCGCACTGCGTCAACGCAACGAATTCGCCAGGCAACATTCTTTGCGTTGACGCACTGCGTTAGTCGAGATTTACGTTGTAATTCAGGCGCTTTATCCAGTGGTTTGGCGGTGACTTTTAGGGGATGCATTCCGAAACTGCTGTTATACATGTTAGGGGTGCATGTCGCACATCTGTGCCTCAGGCCAGTGTGGTCTTGAACACGTATCCCGTCTATACTGTTCAGTCATTATGCAAATACTGTTACATTTTGAGGCAAATAAGCCTACATACAATTATTAGGATTACCGTTGTCGTTAAAAGACAGAATGAGAGTAATAGGTAAGTCAAGAAGACGGTGGTGGGTGCATCCTATTTTGCGTAAAAGGAAGACTAGAAATAATCGTTTATTCAATTTTATTTTGGTCGTTCTGAAAGAAACAAAACAACAACAAACGGACAAAGAAAATGCAGAGGACCTGGTGTACGCAAGGGCAGTTTCAAGTGTTTTGTAGCGTCTAGAGCTGCCGCAAAACCATGGCAGGATTTCGAAACCATGGCCGCTATGACCCAACCCACGGCGACTGACTTTTTAGCTGCCACAAACCAAGAGCGAGCTGCCGTAGTTACGGCAGCAAATCGAATACCACCAATTTTGCTGCCGTAATCCCGGCATGTCGGCTGTAATAGCAGGGCTGCCCCTGATGATGATAAATATTGGGTAAGTTGAAACGCTTTTCTTATGAATACAGTTTTGATGTGTTTAGGTTTGAGTAGATATGATTCCGCATGATAAACTTGAATGACTTTGTAAGTATACCGTTAATAGAACCATAGCAAGAGATGCCGCAGTACGTTCGTGGCAGGAGCTGCCATGAAGTGGTAAAACTGCGCCTCGGAGGAAGGGCATAACTTTAAAATTGAAAAAATACGTGCCCGTCCACCAAAACAGCCAAAGGAACAAACACAATAAAATAAAGACCCGATGTAAAATCGGGCAATACCTTTTAAATCAATTTTAAAATGTGAGACACTGATCAAAAGAAGATCATGGCAATACTTTATACAAACTAGAATTCTAAAAAAAAAAAAAAATTGTGGCTGCGGTTCTTATGTGGTGATTACAGAAAAAATTGATTGTTCAGTGAAATTTTATCACATAACAAACATAAATCACGGGAAAATCAACTATGTATGTGAGAAAGTGGCATGCATAGACTTGCTACAACAGACAGAATCGTTACAGCAGACTTGTACAATTAGAACTTTCTGCACTCCCGAAGGTAATAGGTCAACTTCTTATTTGCAAAAATGTACCAATGTACCGGTAATGCTTGAGGATTGCTTGTTGCATTTTTGTGTGGCTGTTTTTGAGAATGATATAGACTATATATAAAAAGATAACCTCCATTCAAACGCTATGCTGTAAAGTGTAACTGAAATAAATACGATCAAAAGGAATTTATAGAATTGGTAGAATGGAATGCATGGCTATGGTATCACAACAGAGCTTTTCCTACAAATGTATGGAATAAAAAACACTCGTTGACGTAAAATAGTGATGCTGTAGTTCAACTTCATTGCAAAAATAACACTGTGCCAAAAAATTGTTACTGAAAAAAACAACCTCGTAAATAGATTGAATGTTTCATAACAGTCTATGCACAATCATGGTTTGGGGTATCGGATTCTTTTGTCGTTTTCGATTAGTTCAATTTAAACTCATTGTATCCAATCCAATGCTTCCAACATTAATATCGAATTTCCACGAACGACCACCATTCCAACAGGTGCAGTGGTCCCGTCTTTTCTGTGCTCTGTTCCATCATCCACAACTAGATTTATAAAAGAATCGAAACCTCGCGAAACACCCGTAACAGATCGTCCACCATTTAACTTTAAATCCAATATTTTATCCATAAACTTCTTTCCGGTGAATGGGCTTTGCTCATGTTGATATT